ACAGCACGTCAAATATTAAAAACCATTTGTCTCCATTCATTCCTATCAAACACGCTCACGCATGCCCGCTGGAAGTCCAAGCCCCTCGCACACAAAACCTCCTTTATCCCTTCCCTCCAACCTTTCCTAGGCCGACCCCTACCCTGCCTTCCTTCCACTACAGACTGATACACTCTTGAAGTCATTCTGTTTCGCTCCATTCTCTCTACATGTCCAAACCACCTCAACAACCCTACCTCAGCCCTCTGGACAACAGTTTTGGCAATTCCGCACCTCCTCCTAACTTCCAAACTACGAATTCTCTGCATTATATGCACACCACACATTGCTCTCAGACATGGCATCTCCACTGCCTCCAGCCTTCTCCTTGCTGCAACATTCATCACCCATGCTTCACACCCATATAAGAGCGTTGGTAAAACTATACTCTCATACATTCCCCTCTTTGCCTCCAAGGACAAAGTTCTTTGTCTCCACAGACTCCTAAGTGCACCGCTCACCCTTTTCCCCTCATCAATTCTATGATTCACCTCATCTTTCATAGACCCATCCACTGACACGTCCACTCCCAAATATCTGAATACATTCACCTCCTCCATACTCTCTCCCTCCAATCTGATATCCAATCTTTCATCACCTAATCTTTTTGTTATCCTCATAACCTTACTCTTTCCTGTATTCACTTTTAATTTTCTTCTTTTACATACCCTACCAAATTCATCCACCAACCTCTGCAACTTCTCTTCAGAATCTCCCAAGAGCACAGTGTCATCAGCAAAGAGCAACTGTGACAACTCCCATTTTATGTGTGATTCTTTATCTTTTAACTCCACACCTCGCATTTACTTCTCTTACAACCCCATCTATAAATATATTAAACAACCACGGTGACATCACACATCCTTGTCTAAGGCCTACTTTTACTGGGAAATAATCTCCCTCTTTCCTACATACTCTAACTTGAGCCTCACTATCCTAGTAAAAAACTCTTCACTGCTTTCAGTAACGTACCTCCTATACCATACACCTGCAACATCTGCCACATTGCCCCCCTATCCACCTTGTCATACGCCTTTTCCAAATCCATAAATGTCGCAAAAACCTCTTTAGCCTTATCTAAATACTGTTCACTTACATGTTTCACTGTAAGCACCTGGTCCACACACCCCCTACGTTTCCTAAAGCCTCCTTGTTCATCTGCTATCCTATTCTCCGTCTTACTCTTAATTCTTTCAAAAATAACTCTACCATACACTTTACCAGGTATACTCAACAGACTTATCCCCCTATAATTTTTGCACTCTCTTTTGTCCTCTTTGCCTTTATACAAAGGAACTATGCATGCTCTCTGCCAATCCCTAGGTACCTTACTCTCTTCCATACATTTATTAAATAATAGCACCAACCACTCCAAAACTATATCCCCACCTGCTTTTAACATTTCTATCTTTATCCTATAAATCCCAGCTGCCTTACCCCCTTTCATTTTACCTACTGCCTCACGAACTTCCCCCACACTCACAATTGGCTCTTCCTCACTCCTACAAGATGTTATTCCTCCTTGTCCTACACATGAAATCACAGCTTCCCTATCTTCATCAACATTTAACAATTCCTCAAAATATTCCCTCCATCTTCCCAATACCTCTAACTCTCCATTTAATAACTCTCCTCTCCTATTTTTAACTGACAAATCCATTTGTTCTCTAGGCTTCCTTAACTTGTTAATCTCACTCCAAAACTTTTTCTTATTTTCAACAAAATTTGTTGATAACATCTCACCCACTCTCTCATTTGCTCTCTTTACATTGCTTCACCACTCTCTTAACCTCTCTCTTTTTCTCCATATACCCTTCCCTCCTTGCATCACTTCTACTTTGTAAAAACTTCTCATATGCTAACTTTTTCTCCCTTACTACTCTCTTAACATCATCATTCCACCAATCGCTCCTCTTCCCTCCTGCACCCACTTTCCTGTAACCACAAACTTCTGCTGAACACTCTAACACTACATTTTTAAACCTACCCCATACCTCTTCGACCCCATTGCCTATGCTCTCATTAGCCCATCTATCCTACAATAGCTGTTTATATCTTACCCTAACTGCCTCCTCTTTTAGTTTATAAACCTTCACCTCTCTCTTCCCTGATGCTTCTATTCTCCTTGTATCCCATCTACCTTTTACTCTATATCATATCTTGTATACTTATTTATCCTCTTTTTCTTAAAATATGTATTACCTATAACTAAACCCCTTTCTACACAAAGTTCAATCAAAGGGCTCCCATTATCATTTACACACGATGAGAAATTTCAATTACTCAGATATGGTAAACACGAGGAAATTAAATCTTCATCAGAGTACAAAACAAATTCTGGCCACAAAATAGAGCGAAACACCAACGTCAAAGACCTGGGAGTGATCATGTCGGAGGATCTCACCTTCAAGGACCATAACATTGTATCAATCGCATCTGCTAGAAAAATGACAGGATGGATAATGAGAACCTTCAAAACTAGGGATGCCAAGCCCATGATGACACTCTTCAGGTCACTTGTTCTATCTAGGCTGGAATGTTGCTGCACTCTAACAGCAACTTTCAAGGCAGGTGAAATTGCTGACCTAGAAAATGTACAGAGAACCTTCACGGCTCGCATAATGGAGATAAAACACCTCAATTACTGGGAGCGCTTGAGGTTCCTGAACCTGTATTCCCTGGAATGCAGGCGGGAGAGATACATGATCATATACACCTGGAAAATCCTAGAGGGACTAGTACCGAACTTGCACACGAAAATCACTCACTACGAAAGCAAAAGACTTGGCAGACGATGCACCATCCCCCCAATGAAAAGCAGTGTCAGGGGCCCGAGACTGTTCAACTGCCTCCCAGCATACATAAGGGGGATTACCAACAGACCCCTGGCAGTCTTCAAGCTGGCACTGGACAAGCACCTAAAGTCGGTACCTGATCAGCCGGGCTGTGGCTCGTACGTTGGTTTGCGCGCAGCCAGCAGTAACAGCCTGGTTGATCAGGCTCTGATCCACCAGGAGGCCTGGTCACAGACCGGGCCGCGGGGGCGTTGACCCCCGGAACTCTCTCCAGGTAAACTCCAGGTAAACACCTGGCACCCCAAACTTACCTAGCACACCCTCTCTAAAAGTTTCTCCTACTTTAGCATTCAGGTCCCCTACCACAATTATTCTCTCACTTGGTTCAAAGGCTCCTATACATTCATTTAACATCTCCCAAAATTTCTCTCTCTCCTCTACATTCCTCTCTCTCCAGGTGCATACACGCTTATTATGACCCACTTTTCGCATCCAACCTTTACTTTAATCCACATGATTCTTGAATTTACACATTCAAATTCTCTTTTCTCCTTCCATAACTGATCCTTCAACATTATTGCTCCCACTTCCTTAGCTCAAACTCTCTCAGATACTCCAGATTTAATCCCATTTATTTCCCCCACCGAAACTCCCCTACCCCCTTCAGCTTTGTTTCGCTTAGGGCCAGACATCCAACTTCTTTTCATTCATAACATCAGCAATCATCTGTTTCTTGTCATCTCTACTACATCCACGCACATTCAAGCATCCCAGTTTTATAAAGTTTTTTCTCTCTCTCTCTCTCTCTCTCTCTCTCTCTCTCTATATATATATATATATATATATATATAATATATTATATATATATATATATATATATATATATATATATATATATTATAAATATATATATATATGATAGATACCGGCAGCGTGACACCAAAGATATCAGTAAATACACATTGGTAATTATTGTTTAGTGTAGATGGAATATATTATAAACTGAAAATTATAGTCAATGTTATTCTTAAAGTTAATAAAATTGAGAAAAATATAATCAGAAGTCTTCTTCGAAATCTAACATATTTTTTTTTTCGAAAACTGCTGTTCATCATTATTTTAGTTCATTTCATATTAGTAATTCAATTTAATTTCCATGTTGAGGGCTCCCAAACCTAAAATGCCCCGGGCCCCCCAAGGTCTAAATCCGGCCCTGTCTATATGACCCCCTTCGGGTTTAGCACTGTCCTGAAAAAATTTAACGGCAACAATCTTCAATGCTGATGCATCGTTCATATGAAATAGATAAAACGTTTTAAGGGTTTAGGTTGTGTAGGCACAAATTATATTGGGATCTGTGCAATAACACAGAAATACATCTTCTGGTCGGCTTTAAACTTTTAAGTGCTGATGTGTTTTCCTCAAGGGAAACTCTTCATGTTAAGTTGTTTAAGTTATCATGCATCAGTTTTATTAATCAAATTGGTTTCTGTGAAATAAATGGCGAACTTTCTTTGATAAAAGATATCAGTGTTTGACTTTAATTAGTTATCCTAGGGTAAATAAAATTAATGGTCTTTTATGCACCTATAACATCTGCGTGCCATCAAGATCATTGTCAAAAATTTTGTCTTGATGCTGGTCAGTCTCAGAGAAAAGTTTGAATTGATTTTTGTCTATGTAGGTTCCAATTTGCATTATTATAAAATAGAATAATTTAAATACTGCTTTTCGTGGGATAATTTCCAAGAGTCGCAGCTGATTAACTTCTATGTTGACTGACAAGGCAACATATGTTGACTGACAAGGCAACATATGCGCGGCTTCTAGCTAAGTGTGTTTGTGTAGTTTTAGGATATTGGTCTCTTTGGTCCCTCTGAAAAATATGAATTAGATTTGGTCTGTCTCAATTTTATTTTTATTAAAGAAATTTAGATATTAGTTTCCAAATGATAGCTTCTGAACGCCTCATCCGATTACCTTAAAATTTTTAATGCTACTATTTAACGGCATTATTAATTTATGTCGCACTTTGTATTAGAATCACATGTACTGAGGTACAGTGGACTGGGGATCGTGCAGCAACCAAAATAAATCTAGTTTTTATATAATGTTCTGAAAATAAAAATTATGATTCTCATTTGATTCTGGCAAGAGTATACTGACCTAGGAATGGTGAGGTTGACCCAGGTATCGTGTGAGAGAGCGTGGGGAGGCTGGGGCAGGGAGCAAGTATGTGGAGGCAAGTACACCATCAACAGTATGTTGAGGTAAGCACAAGGTGCCAGCAGGCACACGGGTGCCACAAACGCCCACACCAGTAACCGTTCGTAGGCTCCCTCAGCATCCGCCCACCGCAGCAACTTCTCCATCTCCTTAGCCTCGTCAGTACCACCCTCGGTGTCATCTATGATCAGGTCGTCGTCCGTTCTGCTGCCTTGGGACTTACTACCAGCCCCTCCCTCCATGGCACCATTCTCCAGCTCCTTGTGTTTTATATCTTCTATTTCTCCTCCACTAACCATCTCATCAACGATGGGAAAGATATCTTTCCCGCTAGAAATCAGGAAAGTTTTGGTGGAACGTAGTAGCCAGCCAGTCTGGAGTGATACAGCTAGCCTGGGCAAGACCAGCTACCTGTAAAGTATCTTACTAATGGGTAGTGTTGTCGCTAAATATATATCGTCTTCAAGGCGGTTTTTGGAGCGTGGTGAGTTGAAGACGGTGGTGCGGGACGTACAGGAAGATCTAGTGGAAACTCTTAAAGGTAAGTTGTGTTGTCGGAAGACTCCAGTCTCGTATTGTGGATATTTTTTATGAGACCTGGGGACAGCAGTGCCAGTGTATTTGCGATCCACACGGCTCTATCTGTAGGGGCGGAGGAAACAACAAAATTATCAAACATATTCCATCAACCAGACTCAAAAAATCAGATAAATTTATTTGATTAAAACAAACTGGGTCAAACTATTTAAATGACCTGAAAATTCGAAGGAATAAATGTTTTCACTAAATAAACACATTGTTGTATATCAGAATAAATTATTTATGGAATTTTCTATTAATACAGTTTTGTATCATATGTATTATTTACGAAATAAGTTTATTATTATTATTATATTATTATTATTATTATTATTATTATTATTATTATTATTATTATTATTATTATTATTTATTATTATTATTTTTAATAATAATAATAATAATAATAATAATATTATTATTATTATTATTATTATTATTATTATTATTATTATTATTATTAATAAAATAATATAATAATAATAATAATAATAATTAATATTATTTTATTATATTAATAATTATTATTATTATTATTATTATTATTATTATTATATTATTATTATTTTGCTCAAAACACGAGAATTCCCCATCCGATCTGCTTCAACTTTTCAACGCTGGTAGACGGTAACTATACCTGGAGACGATTTCGAGGGTCAACGCCCTCGCTGCTCGGTCTGAGACCAGGCTTCGTGGTGGATCAAGATCTGATCAACCAGGCTGTTATAACTGGCCGCACGCAAACTGACGTACGAACCACAGCCCGGTTGATCACGTACTGACTTTAGGTGCCTGTCCAGCGCCTTCTTGGGAGGCAGTTGAACAGTCTTGGGTCCCTGACACTTATTGCGTTGTGTCTCACTGTACTAGTGGCACCCCTGCTTTTCACTGGGGAAATGTTGCATCTCCTGCAGAGTCATTTGCTACCATAGGGAGTGATTTTCGTGTGCAAGTTTGATACTAATTCCTCTAGGATTTTCCAAGGGTATATTATCATATACCTCTATCGTCTGCGTTCCAGGAATACAGGCCCCTCAGGGAAGGTTCCTTGATGATGGTGAGGGGCTCTTGGTTTAGAGAATTGGATCTGTGCTCCAGTTCCCCGAATTAAGCCTGAATGCCTTCCACATCCCCCCCCCCAGGCGCTGTATAATCCTACGGGTTTAGCGCTTCCCCCTTGATTATAATAATAATAATCCAGGAATACAAATCAAGGGACTTTAACTCTTCCGAGCAATTTAGGTGCCTTATTGTTCTTTGCACACTCTCCAAGTCAGCAATTTCGCCTGCTTTGAAGGGGACAGTTAGTGTACAGCAGTATTCCAGCCTAGAGAGAACAAGCGATTTGGAGAGAATAATCATGGCTTGGCATCCCTAGTTTTGAAGGTTTTCATTATCCATCCTATCATTTTTGTAGCAGATGCGGTAGATACATTGTTGTTGTCTATTGTATGGTTAGAATTTATTGTATACCTGATACAGTTTAAATTTACTCAAGTTTTCCTTATCTGAGTAGTTGAAATTTCTCTTCACTGAACTTCATATTGTTTTGAGTGGCCCATTTGAAGATTTGGTTGATGTTCTCTTTAAGTCTCGTGGTGTCGTCGATGTAGGACACTGTCATGGTTATTCGGGTGTCATCCACAAAGGAAGACACGGAGCTATGGCTTACATCTCTGCCTGTGTCAGATATTAGGATGAGGAACAGGATGGGGGCAAGTACTGTGCCTTGTGGACCAGAGCTTTTCACAGTAGCTGCCTCAGACTTTACTCTGTTTACTCTTTGTTAGAATGTTATAAGATCCATCTACCAACTTTTCCTGTTATTCCTTTATCACGCATTTTGTGCGCTATTACACCATGGTTGCACTTGTCGAAGGCTTTCACAAAGTCTGTGTGTACTACATCTGCATTTTGTTTATCCTCTATAGCGGGGCTACTCAATTGGCGGCCCACGGTCCGAATCTGCACCTTCTGAGTGTTGTAGTTGTACTGTGGGCCTCATGAAAAAGCTTAGTTAACTAACAGCTGTTACCACGTTCAGGATCTGGTAGTACAAAAGAGCGGGATTAATACATTATTACAGTATTCTAGCATAGATAAATAGTGATATTTTCTTCCATTCAATGGTAATTCATATTGGTAATTATGTCAGCATAGTTGCTGATCCCCTACATGTGTTGTATAGTTTATCTGAGTATCATAGTTAGTACCATCCATATGTTTTACATACATGACCCCTTGCTAGGTTCAGTGACTAGCTTGTGTGATGTCACGTGATGCCGTTGTGAGCGCTGCACTCCCGTAATCGCCCTCACTCCGTGCTTAGGTCTACAACAAGCAACACAGGCAGGCTGGGCTCCCCTTTCACACTCTGCTAATATAAGTGTTACCATCCAACAATTGTGTTTAAGTCCAACCATCACATCTCCACGAACCCTCACAACAAATGGTGCCAGCGGTGGGATCGTAATTGTGACAATTACAGTGATTTCTGGAGATAAATTTCTACTGAGCCGGTCACCATTTCCTGACCACCTAGGCCTGCTGAGATGAGTGACACTTCACAACCCAAGCCAGCACCCACCACTACTTCCTGATCAATCCTTGTGTCTTCTCTGCTTATTTACATTACTTCCGAGGGGTTGACCCGGGTTTGCAAATTAAGCCAAGCCACCAAGCCAGTCTGTGGGGGGGGGAGTCAGCCCTACACCATCCAGTCTGTCTTAAGTACCAGCCTTGCCTGCAAAGCCAGTTTTCCACCCCTGCTGTGCTCATCATTACAAGTTCTCAAGCCAGTCTGTGTGAAGGGTTAAGCCAAGCAAGCCAGCCAACTAACCCAGGTGACTAACCCAGTACTCAAGCAAGCCATGTGGGTACAACCTTCACCATCGCTTGTGCTTCCAGTTCTAAGTTATTCTGAATGCTTTACTATCCTTGTGGTACTGTAGTATTTTGTGGGTTTTTAAGCCAGCCTGGCTTAGAATATTTTTGTGTCTAGTGTGGGTGTACCCAGAGCACATGGCTTACGCCGCTTATCCCGTAGGCCCACACAGTGTCCTAGCACACTGCTTCAGCCACCCACACTTTCCACCACTACCACTGCTGTTTTTTTTTTACCCATATAATGGGTCCTAGCACCTCATTTTATGGACCACATAGTGGGTCAAGACGCAAGATTGTTCCTTCGTACCTGTGCACCAACATAAAAGCCTCCTGTGTGCATCTATCGTCAATTTAAGCGCTAATTCTTCGAGAACTCGCCGAGTAGTGGTAGTGGAGTGCCGCACCAGCTACAACCTTTCCTCCACCTCCCTCCACTACCCTCATTCTTCACTAACGCTGCTCCAGTGATAATATTTTTATAGAGACATTTGTGAGTGTTGAGACAATTTTTTCAGTGATTTCATAGTGACATTTCTTTCCAGTGATTTCTTAGTAACATTCAGTGACTCTTGATTAAATTCAGTGTTCATCACATTCTGTTTGCAATACTAATTTTTTTCTTCAGTATTTAAATTTTTGTGCTTTATTTTATGTCTGTTGTGTTGTATTCCTTTTTTTATATATGTGAGGTAAGTACTTTTCTGTTTTTCCCTGTTGTGTGCAATCTCCTCTCCAAGATACGATACTACATACTGCAAACTGCCCTTCTCACTATACCATTCACTTATATATCCATACCTCACCTATGCTATCTGTGCTTGGGGTTCAACTGCAGCAACACACCTAAAGCCAATAATAACCCAACAAAAAGCCGCAGTAAGAATAATCACTAAATCCCATCCCTGGCAACACCCCCCCCCCCACTCTTCATAGATCTAAACTTACTCCCTGTTCAGAACATCCACACTTACTACCGTGCAGTCTATATCTACAGGACCTTAAATTCCAATATTAACCTTGACCTAAAATGCTTTCTTGATAGTTGTGACAGGATCCACAGGCATAACACCAGACACAAACATCTCTATGACATTCCCCGTGTTCGACTAAACCTTTACAAAAATTCAATGTATTTCAAAGGACCTAAAATCTGGAACACCCTACCTGAAAACTCTAGAACTGCAGACACATTCATCACTTTCAAAACTACAGTTAGAAAACATCTTATCTCCCTGATCCACCCCGACAACTAACTACATGATAGCCACCTGGTGGTTCACAATTGCACTCACTCACCCACTGACTATAAACCCAGAAATACTAATCTTAAAATAATAAATCCTAACTAGTCATAAGTTTGCCTATGATACTCCAATACAGACACCTTGTATTGTGCCAAAACAAAAGCATTCACATTGCTAAACTCACAAATTATGATGTAGTCACTTAGCCTTAATACCATAATCTGTAAGGATTTAATGTTAAGAATTAATCTAAGTCTGCTCGAAATGCCTAGCCATGCTAGGTGTCCTAGTGGCCCACTCTGTAATTAGTATTTTATAATATGTAAACCACACAATACCCAAAACCTGTAAACCCACATTGTAACCCTTATAGAGAATAAACTTGAATTGAATTGAATTGAATTGAGTATAAACTTGTGTTTGCACTTCACAATCATCTTGTGTTCACAGTATTGTGTTCCTTGCCTAGTAATTTATGCAGTGAAGTAATTCAGTAACTTGTTATCTTATATTCTGCATCACAACTCAGTGTTGTCTCAGTTAATTGTTTTTCCCCAGCATTTGTGTATTCTTGCTGTTTTTGCATTAATTCATTTTTCTATGTGTTGAACAATCTTGTGTTAATTCTTTTCATTTAGCCAGTGTCTAATTTGTCTTATCTCCACACACAATAGTGCTATTATTTTGTTTGAAGCAAGATGATTATTTTCCAATTTTTGTCACCCCCAAGCCTTATTGCAAGAAAATTCCCATAGTATTGTGCATATATTGTTGTGTTGTGTTCTGCATTATTGTAAGTGTTAACCTTTCTCTGTTTTGTGTTTTATGCGCTCTATTATTATTTTTCATATTTCATTGAACAAATTCACTCTTAGTGCAATTTTTTTTAACTTTTTTTTTTAAAGTAAAACATTCTTTTGCTTGTTCAGT